CATCTTTTCCGCAACCGGAGGTTAGCACTTTGTAAACAAAATTTTGTGCAATGAAGAGGGGACAAACCAGAAATCCGGAAACCCTGGCTCTGGCTTAACAGCTGTGACTTTAAGTCACTACACTTCTCTGAATATTGGCTTCCTCGTCCACGCCCATAAAGTGGATATCCTCTAAGGGTCCTCCCAGCTCTCAAGACGAGGGTATTCTTTTGTTTTCGCCACAACGAGCTCCGAGAGTCGGACGGGCCCGGGCACATCCCTGCTCCGCCCTTCATTTCCGAGTTTCTTACGGGGTCCGGAGGGGCCCAGAAGCCGGCTGCCGGAGCTGGGGCTAGGGTCTCGGTGCGGCTCACGCGGAGACTAACCCCGCGGTGGGAAGGGGCCCGGTCTGCGCCTCACTCACCTCGGCCTGTAGCGTTACTCGCTCCGGCGGGCTACGCTCGGCTCCGACTTCCGTTCGAGGGACCGGCGCGAACCCCGACCCCGCTCGGACGGCAGACCTCCTCTCCTGCGCCCCACTTCTCCACTCCCTTGCTCCGGCCTTCTGCACAAAACCTGGACAAGTCTCAGCTCCCAACTACGCTCCTGCAAAGCAACTCAGCTCTCCTCAGGCCTGGGCTCCAGAGGCAGCGCGCGATCTGCCTTGCAGCTTTCGGAAATCCCGCCAAATCCTATTGGGCAGGGTCACGCCCGCGTCGACGTACGTCTCCCCGCCCCTCTCGGATCCGCCTTCCACCCCCTTCGGCCTCCACTCGTAAGACCAAGAAATGGGCCCGAGGAGCTTGACCTTGCAGGATATATGGAATGTCCTCTTCTTTTAACCCCTTCGGACTGATTCAAAATTTGGAAGCTGCCACCTCCTTTCCTTTACTAGATCGAGGACTACAACTCCCAAGTGGAAATGGGTCGGCCCCGAGACTACACCTCCCAGGATGCACCGCGGGCAGACGCCGCGGCTTTCACTCCTCAGCACCTATGGGAAATAGCCAGGCCCTGGAGAGCTCTTACTGATTTGTTTCATAAGTCAGCTGGGCATTTGGCCTGTCAGGTTGCTTTGATTCTCCTACTGAATCTAATTCCGAAGCCAGACGCTTTCTAGGCCCTTGTAGGTGGCGGATCTGAGGGAGCTTGAGTAGATGGATGAAACTGGAAAATAGAGCTAGTAGAGGAGAGAAAGGACTGGAATATTTGTGGGACTTTCCTGGAGATTTGCCGACTCTAGAGGGAGGAGACATTGATTTTGAGAATACAAATTTTGTCCTGGTTTACTGGAACATTGATTCCAGTTTTAAAGGGTGAGTAGGGTTTCCTGGGAGAAGAGGAGATGGAAGACATAAGCAGATAGAGCCGTATGGGTATGGAAATTAATGATGTGATTAAGAAATAGTATTGTCTAATGATGGAGGAGAAATGTGTCTTAAGAGGTCTTGAGACTATTAAGTTACCTTTTGTTCAGGCTATGAAGAGGCTTAAGACCATTATGGAGCTTTGGCCTTTATTTTTTAATGGGGAAATCATCGAAAGTTTTGAAGCTGAGGGGTCATATGGTTAGATCTATTTTTTGTTCCCCACTGAGACAGGAAGGGGGCAATGCACAGCCATTCAAGGAATGATACAGCAATTAACATCAAAATGGTGGAAAATTCAACCCCCAGTAGGCCTTGAGGCTCAAGATGGTGGGAGATTTGACTATATGCCCATTGTAATAGATTAGCATGGTGAATAACATGCCCACAGGTGCCATGACAGTCCCAAGGCTAGCCACAAAAGATCAAAGAGTGGGAAATGGCCAATTTTCTGGGAATCCCAGCCCTTTCCCCAGGCTAGTTAGACTGCTTCTTCCACTTAATAGCTTATGAAGCCACCAAGCCTATAAAAACTGGCAACACGATTCCTCACGGCCGCCGCCCTCTCTCCTCCTTCGGAAACGGCACACGCTCTGTCTATGGAGTGTGTACCTACATTTACTCTAATCTGAGCACTGAACCCCCACACCTCATGGCCTTTCTCTTGCCTTTCCATGTATCTCTCTAAATAAATCTATCTTTACTCAACTGTGGCTCACTCTTAATTCTTTCCTGCGTGAAGCCAAGGACCCACACTTGACGGGGCATGTCCCAGGGGCTCAACCAAAGCCTGGGACATGGCCCTCTCACGCCCCACCTCCGTTTTTCCTGCATCACCACTACTACTTTATATTTGTGGAGTGCTTTAAACTTTGTAAAGTTTTTATTTAATCCTCACACTGTTATCTTGTGGCATTGGAGGACAGATTTCAGGAGAATGAGAGTAAAGGCAACAAAAAACTGTTAGGTAGCTTTTGCAATATTTCAGGCAAGAGATGAAGGCTTGAGTTAGGGCAATGACAGAGAACAGATTCAGGAAGCATTCTGGAGGTAGAGTCAACCTAACTTAGTGATCATAGATGGTACCTGATGATAATAGTGAACTGCCTTCCATACCAAAGATACACACTTTTATCTCCCATTCTTCACATACTCTCCTCCTTGGAACATCTGCAAACCCACAGCCCCTCTTAGCTAAGTGAAGATACGCGACTTTGACCTTTTATTAAAATGAAATTCCTGTGGCTGTGTAGGTATTAAACCAGAGAAACCGATCTGCAGAAAAGTTTAAGAAATTGAGAGACTAAGAAGTTGGGAAAGGGTGTGAAACAAACAGTTTTGAATTCTGGCTTCTTTCCATAACCCCTTTCCAATTTCTGATGGGCCCAGCAACACTTGCTCTTGAGGTCTACAAGGTATCCCATCTTCCAATAATCTCCCATTTTTTCTGCTTAAACAAATGTAAGTAGCTTTATGTTCCTTTCCTCAAAGACAACCCACTAACAAGTTGGAAATGAGACAAAATAGATTTCTCTCTAACATTTAAATTAGCAATCCATAAGAATATTCATAAATGTATAATTTAAAAGTTTTGAATATATCCTAAGTTACAATTTAAGTGACCTGTCTGAAATCTTAAGGCGGCAACTTCTAATAAAACTTAGTCAGCAGAAATCTGATCATTTGTCTCAAGAAAAAAAGTGATCTCATCAGCATAGTCAGCCTGGAACAGAGAAGGGAATACCCCATGTCCAAGTGATCTAGTTGAGTAGTGCAAGGATGATTCATTATTAGGAATCAGTTATTATAATTGACTATATTAACAGGTGAAGGAGAAAAACCATATGGTTAATTTCATCATTTTGAAAAAACACCTGTTGGGGAGGAAGAAATTTTCCTCTACCCTTCTAGGTTCTTCTGGCTGGTCTAAGAATGAAATTAATATGAGACAAATTAACAGAAGAAAATCAAACAAAAATTTAATAACACGTATACATGGTAGAAACTAGGAAACCTAAGTAACTCCCCAAAATAGCAGAAAACTTCACCTTAAATACCATCTATAGCTAAAGACAGAAGACTGACGTTGTGGGTAGTGGTTTAGGACTTCAAAGGGGAGAAAGACAATTCATAAGGAGATGGAAAAGCAAACATTTGGTAAATGAATGTTTGCTGGCCCATGCAGAGACAGTAGGACACATAGTGGATTCATGATAGCTCTATTCTGTGCATAAGCTCTCTAAATTTTCTTTAGGCAATAAGGGAAAGGTCAGAGTTACTTCCTGAGCCTTTTGGGTCTTGTTTACAGTTCAAAATAATCCACAAACCAAAGAGACATTTTTGGCGGCAAGTTTTTCTCCCCTACATATCCAATAAAATTCAACATAAATTCCTGATTAAAGGGGAAAAAAGAGAAAAAGAAATTAGGTATTTGCTTAACACTATCAGTAAAATGTATATTTGGATATATAGTCCAAGCAAGCTGCCATCACCTGTTTTCTAGCAAAATATTAGAAACACCTTCATTAAAATCAAGAACATAATTGTCTACTGCCACTGTTATTTACTATTATGCAGAAAGGGCTGCTAAGTATAATAACAAAAGAATGAAATCATAAAAGATAAAAAACAAATAATAAAAGATACAAAT